ACTTTTTATTTTAATTCCCTGTAGAAATTCATTGCAGAAACAAGAAGCCAATGTGAGTGAAAAAGGCTTGTGGTTTGAACTGACTTGGAGCAAGAGAAATGAGTAGCATGAAAATATCATTTTGGAGGCAAGCCTTCTTCAACATTAAGGTTTGAGACATGCCAGAATTTTAGCACTGCGTGAGAATTAGAAAATCCCTTTGTCTTGAATGCCGTATTAATCTGTCCTCCACTGTACATCAAAGCATAGAAGAATCTTGGCAATATTAACAGAAAATAAGCTTATATTGCTATTTCCCTTAGTATAGTGAGACCCTGCTTCTGGAATGACAAGCACTCCAGCCAAAGTCTACCCGAATAAAGATGCCATGAATTGTAAGGACTGGAGCCCATGTGGAGAAGACAGACACTGCCACTTCCCCGCCTATGGAAACTGATAAGGAATGCTCTCATTTGTGTTCACGGAGCAGTAGCACGTTTGCTTGCTGCTCTTCTTCTTGGCCGAATGGGGAAAGATCAATCCACTATATTTCTCCCCCTCCTTCCCAGTCCTGGCTGGCAGTACTTATAGCAGTCCACTCTTCCTCTTCTTTCTTTCTTTCTTTCTTTCTTTCTTTCTTTCTTTCTTTCTTTCTTTCTTCCAACAACTGTCATTTTTCTAACAGTGGTTTTGGACACTTTCTTCCACTGTGCAGGAGATAACAAATGAGGGAACATCTCCTCTGGTGCTGATGGATTCCCTGCTCCCCTTTTATTTCACTCCTGGCACAGTAGCGAAAAGTGGCTTGTGGGGAAGGTAGAACAGCCCTGACTGAGCTTGGTGGTTTTCATCCAGATTAGCTCACATGTACCTACTCTGGAGCAGAAAGGAGGATCACCAAGATGCAACACATTTAACATTGTAAGTAGGTTCCTCTACCCACAGAGCCTGCACATCTCCCTGTGATGAGAGGAGCTTGCACTGCCTTGGCGTCCAAAATATACACATCTCACAGGCTTAGCTTTGGATGGCCTTAACCAGGCCTGGGCAGATGCAGTGCTTGTGGGGTCTTCTTCATTATTTATGGGAACACCAGGGTCCACCAACCAAACCCAAGCACAGAAGAGTGGTCTCAGAAGAAGGACAAACAGATGTTTAGGGCTAAACTAGAACACATTAAATGTATAGTACCAAGGTGATCCTAACTTTCTTCCTGCTTTGGTGTAGGTACATGGGGGACTGACCTGGACTGGGACCACTGCCCACCTGGGCACAGCAGGGACAGAGGAGAGTGGGAAGCTGCTTCTTGCAGTCAATCGCTCCAATTTGATCCAACAATCTATGTCATGCTATAGAGAAGATAAATATTAGCAAGGGGGATTCAGTTAAAAGCAACATCTTGAACACAGACTGCCAAGGTCCAGAGTTCCAACTATCTGAGTGAAAAAAAATGGAAGCCCAAAAAGAGGTAGAAACTAATGTCACCAATCTCCCACTTGGCTGGACTGGAATATGCTTCATATCCAGGCAGGCTGATTTTGTAACAAAGCCAAGATCCCCGAAATAGCAGCATATGGAAATTACTTACATAGCATTTTTAAAAATTCATCCTCTAGTTTGTGCATCAAGCTAAATCATAAGGCAAACAGTGAACTCTGTCTTGTGCCTTCAAAAATCATTGCTCAGATACAAACTCTACTTCTCTCATCCCTGACAAAACTCCATTTTTAAAAGCAATTGGTAATGAAGTTTTTGTTGATGGATATCAGCAGTAACAGCAATGCCATCCCGTTTACCTCTGCTGTCATCTAACTCATGGGATTCTAATTTTCTCATTGTCATCCAATTAGCAGACATCTGACATACTTGCTCAGAAATGAAGGGGCCTTCATTTCTGTTTTTATATCAAGAATCCAAAAAAAGAGATCAAATCAGCCAGCGATGGAATTGTTTGTTTAATTCCTAGTTGAATCACAGTGAGTGATGGACAGGACTGTTAACGCCAGTTCCAAATATACCCTGCTCTGGTTAGCTGGTTTTCCCTCAGCACAGTCAACCAATTGAGTGCTGCTGGTGCTATTTTGCTCAGTATGAGGGAAAGGGCTCAGTGGATCAGTCAGATCCCACCTTAGACCTATTACTGGGGCTACAGGAGTTGCCCTCCTCTGAAGTATTTGCTGCACTAGCTCATTGCTATTAATGATGACTGAAGACCATTTCTCAGCCATGGAGTTCTGGACAAGATGTGTGTCAGCTCCTGGGCCTCAGGAGAATCAGTAGGTTGATCAGGCACTTGGACAGGCTCTGGTGGAAGAAAGCTGCAGCTGGAAAGCTAAGGGTGATGTTCAGTCAGTAACTTCAGCATCCCTCTGCAGAAGCTGTTAGGCAGGAGTTGTTCCTCATGGGAAGCGTTGTCATTCCTGTGAGGGACTAGCAGTGAGTGAGGACTTGGGCAGGCTGCTCAGCTCAAGTCTCTTACAAGTTCCTTTTCCCATTGGGTACTTACTGCAGACTTAGAGGGGCCATGCTCCTTTCTTTAGCCTGAAGCTCCAGCATCTCAGAGAGACCTGGGAGGCTTTGAGAGAGCCATTCTTGATGGAATTATGAAAGGGTCAAGTCCTTGGCTCTGGGGATGGATCACAGCTTCCTCTCTGGAATACAATGGAGTGACCAGCATCTTGTTGGGCTTAGAATCTTCTTTCAGGTGACACCAGGCCACCAGACCCAAGACCATGACAAGACAAGGTAGCATGTTGTGGCATTCACTAGTTCCCTGTAGCCTCATATTTGAGAGTGACTTCATCATAGAATCCAAGAACAGTTAAGCTGGAAGCATGCCCTCCAGCTTTCCTCCCTCTCCTTAATAATAATGCTGAAATTCTGGCCAATTGAACTATTAAAATACTCATTTGTGCACAGGTAGGAACCTGTATTATTTTAACTTGCAAAAGGTCAATATTATTCATTAGTAAGTGTGACCTCACAGCTCTTGAGAGGTTGCATATTGAGTAAAAATGTATATCTTCCATAGAATATTTAGTTAGGGCTATATGAGTGGATTGTAACAACATAATTGATATCACAGGATTCTCCCCACTAGGGTGGGCAACTTGTACTAAAGATGCTGCAGGTTCTCCAGCATCCCTTATCAGAGATGCTATCTTCACCTACAGTGCTAACTTTCTCATCAGTAGACTAAGAAAACTTTGTATCTGCATTCTCCACTTTAACTATACATAAGAGGTATTCTTATTAGTATTAACTGATATCAAGAGACAAGATTAACAGATATCAACAGATACCTTATTCAATTTGGGCAAATATCCAGCTAAAATCACACTGTTATTGGAGAAGCATTAACCTGGCAATGTCTGCAGATTGGTTCTATACAGGAGCAGATGCTTTCAGAATCCCATGGCTTTAAGTCTTTTATTTCTAAGCTTTCAGACCCATTATTTCTAAGCTTTCAGACGCATTGGATAACAACTCCATCATACTGAAATGCAAAACAGGCTGGTCCAAGGCTTTATAAATCTTGGGCTGCTTAAGATTTGTAGGTGAATGGGAATTTCAATAACTTTAGTGACCCTACTTACCACTCATTATAGACTACAAACCAAATGGGTGAAGGAAAATCTAAAAACAGCAGCAACTAATTATCAAATTTCAAAGAAAGTACAATTTTAAAAAATCTTACAGACTAATATATGAGCCACTTTGAAAAAGACATATAGAATAAACTCCACATAGCTTTTTTCCAGAATTCTTTTAATATTGTTCTTCTCACAACATCAATGGAAATGAGTCTGGTATGATGATAAGACTTGTGGAGTGCAGATGAGACTGGAGGAGGTCCTTACACAGAGTGGGAAGCACTTCAGGCTCGATCCAATAAGATTCACATCAAAAGAACACCATGGAACAAGGAAGAGTTGCAGGGCAAACAAAGGTCTCAACCAGCAGTGTTCAAGCAGAGTCCAGTAGCATGTAAGAAAGAGCCAAAATCTAAAACCCGAAGGGCCAAGAGAGCGGGTGGGGGGGGGGGGGAGCCTGATCAACAACTATACTACCATGTCTGATTTCTGGGATGGGTTACCATAATGTGGACATCCACCCTGTGATTGTTGTGATTTGCCTCTTGAGATGTCACTGCTCTCTGAGGCTAGGAGGTCACTCACCTTCCATCTCACCACCTCCTCTTGCAGAGGTGAATCCACAGCCATCTTCACTGAATGCCCAAGCTCCTTCTGGTTTATCCACTAGCATCCTAGCATGGGCTGCCCTTTAATGCAGTTCAGGCCCCCACTCTGAAAAAGGATGCTTCCAGCAGATGGGGCTTTTTACGTCTCTAATCTAGAGTAGGTGCAAAGAAGAACTAATCCAGTCCTTATACCTCCTTACCCCTAAAGTGATGATCCTCATCCAAATTAGAGGCTCTGCATCTACTCTAGGAAAAAAAGAAAAGAAAATAAAGACGTAGAGGCTAGATATGAATTTGAAGTAAGGTCTATTTTCTCCCTGAGTAGAATCATCAAGACAGCTTTTCCTCTGAAAACTATGCTTTTGTGATTATCTGGTGACAGTGTCTTTTTATCACGATTGTTGTTATTATTGCCCTGGTACCAAATGCTCTTGTTTTGATGTGGCTGAGGATCAGTCAAAGGTGACCATGACACCTGCAACACTCCCCCCGCCAAAGCTGGAAAGGCTTGCAGCAAAGTGATTTATGCAAAGGTTGTTTTTGGTTCTGATGCAGGTTTCTCAAGGATACAGGTTTCAATTGCCAGCTAAAGCTATTTTGTGTTCATTAGAGATATTGCGGCAGAAAAGCAAATCTACTGGATATGCCCTATATACTAGAGAGTGCCTTCTCTCTCTCTCTCTCTCTCTCTCTCTCTCTCTCTCTCTCTCTCTCTCTCACACACACACACACACACACACACACACACACACACCCCTTATCTGGATGATATATACATGTCTAACTAGAAATGACAGCAACATGATCTCTGTGTTAGAACATGGATCATGCTGAACAGGTATTGAACTAGGATGGGAAGAAGTGATTAAAATAGATAAACAGCCAGGGGTTTGTGTTTAAATAAATATTAAACTAGTGCCGTAGTGCACAATTTTGTACATGTTCTATAGCATAATTAATTCTATTTGGAGCATGTCTTTGTCCTCCAAGGAGTTCAAAGCTGTGAATATATTATGCATTTAGATCTACATTTTGGTTCAATAAAGCTGCTTTAATCGTGATTTTTATCTTAGATCATCTGTGAAGTTACTTCGAGATAGGGCAAAATCTGCCCATTCAGGAAACACCAATAGGCCAAATTTAAACACCATGGCGAGTCTGACACAGCTGCCTGGTGATTCTTAGGAGTGACCAGCTTTCTTCCAAACTTTGAAGCTGCAGAGGAGGGTGGGCATCATTCTTTCAGCTGTGCACTGGTCCTTGTTGCCTCCGTAGCACCAGTTTGGAAGAGGCTGGTATCTGTTTGGAAGCAGCCAAGAGTGCCTTGGCTATGCAGGGCCTAACTGGAAAAAATCCCTACCTCCCTTTCCTGCTCCACATACGAAAAGGTTGGTGGAGTGGTCCTTGCTAACGTGCCCCTGGATGGTAGCACCTGAAGTCCCTTCACACAGCAGTGTCCAAGCCATGAGGCTTTATTCCCTGGCAGCCCTTCCCCTGGGAAATTCTAGTCTGGGAAGTAGAACTACTGTGGTTACCTAAAAATAGCCAAAAAAGAGGTAATACATTCTCAAGAAAGGAAAATAGAGGACATGATTGCATATTTGTGGCACACACTCATTTATACATTATGTGTGTTTGTTTATTCATTCATTTATTATGTTTTTATATCCCCTAACAGTCAAAGCTTTTTGAGAAGTAAGTTATAACTGAAAGAGAAGCAAAAGACATCTCAGTGTTGTGTGTGAGAGTGTGACCAGGTGGCCTGTGGTTCTTGCCGGTACAGTCAGCTGTCCAGGTGTGAGCTGGTGATGTGCCACAGTCCTTAAGCCAGGACTGGACAAGCCAGCACTTCCAATAAGAGGGCAGAGCCAGACAGAGGATGGCCCTTTGGCAATCTATCCAAGAGAGGACTGCCTTCTTTAAAAGGGGACACAAGCCACCCTCATGGGAGATGATCTTGGGCATTAGTGCCTGAACATGCAAATGTCCCACCAGCACCACCACTGCCACTGCCACCCCAGCAAAGGCTCAAAGGCACCTCAAGGGCCTTCTAGAGGGAAGGATTAGAAGCGGTGAACCTGTATGGGGGATACATTTCAGCACTCTGGACAGCTTCTATGGCGCTCAGGAGAGGAACTGCATGGATGAGGATGCCCACTGACAGAGGGGTCACCAGCCTCTCCTGCCAGTGCTCTTGGGCTGCACAGTTCGTCCGCATCTGGCCAAAGCTTCACTAGCTTGCAGCTGCATGCAGCCAGAGCTGTTAATCAGTAGGGTGCACATCCAGGAGTCCCTAATTTGATAGTATCATGTCTTACCAAGCAAGAGTAAGATATTTAATAATACAAAAGAGAGGATCAATTTTGCCAGAGAGCCTGAGTATCTTAGAAGACACAGTCCAGATCATCTTCATTAAATCTCTCATTCAGAAGAGATCAATGGTCCTCATCATCAGACTAGAAGAAATTCAATGAAAGAAATAACAGAATTGAATGAGTTAATGCCTGACATAATGAGCACCAATTTACTTGTTCGATGCCCAATTGTTTCTTGCATACATATTAATTAAAGACAAAATCAGATGTTGGATGACTCAGAATGTGACAGAAACCGCTGCCTTGTCAAGCCTTAAAGCTCAGTTTTAGCCTAGGATAATACAATCCATATATGATACAAAGTCCCCAGTCCTTAACAATTAATACTACATAAAATGGCCTAGTGCAACTCAGCAACGAAGTGGGCTGTCCTATATTCTAAGCCAGCTGTGCAGAATCTTCAGCAGGGACCCAATCCTAGGTTTGTATTCTAATTTATTCAAGATTAAATCAGTTGGTTTAATAAACCCAGAAATGATTTGCTAAGCCACTTTAACACTATTTCAGTGCACAAGAAAGGCAAGGAATGAAGGAGAGAAAAGAGCTTGTGGGCACAGTACCTGTTCACAGTCTATAAACATGGTTTATTAAAACATCTGGGCAGAGCCATTAATATACTTGATAAGAGGTATGTGCTAGCTCTTGTTATATGATCTCTATATTTAAAAGCCTCCAGTTCACAAAGATACTTGAATGTGAAATACAGGCTGGAAGAGAGATTTCTAACTTTTTTTCTGCCACTGTGGCCCTAACGTGAGTGCAGTTTCTGAGATTTATAACACAGATTCTTCTGGCACCTGAAAGACAAAGAATTTTTTTTTCATAAGCTTATATGGACTATAGATGCATGACTTGTATTGAGAGTTTCAAGTTTATATACTATATGTATTTTGGAGAGGTGGGAGAGAGTTAATCCTGACAGCAAAGTCAGAAATGAATTTAAACAGAAACTACTGAGGGTTGCAATCACATTAATTCACAAAATTAATTGGTTTCTACAAGTAACACATGCATCCTGACAATGAGCGGTATTAAGATATGCATGTCTTGGTAGTGATCCATAGGTCATTTAAACCAGGAACTGTGGATATCAATAGAGCAGTGGTTTTCAACTGTGGGGTGGTGGGGGGGGGGGAACCTCCCTTTTACAGAGGGTACGACAGTCCTCCTCATGGGGTGGGGAAGGGAAAAACAGCTTGGTGGGAGCTGACTGGGTGGGCGCTGCACTGATTTCAGTATTTTGCACTTTTGATGCCATTTTTTGTTGCTCTGGTTGTTTTGGAGAATTGTCATTTCTTTTAGTATTGTCGTTGGAAAGTAATACACAGAATATGGTCTTATGCGCCTGGTTCATTTTGTGTCTGCCTCAGCGGTCCCCAAGGTCCCCTATGAACTACACNAGAGAGGTCCGCCTGGCGCCGTCGTTATTTGTTTTTCGGCGCCAGGCGAAGACCTTTTTATTTAAGCAGCATTTTAAATGTTAATATTATTGAATTTTATTCGGCCAGGGCGGCTTATTTTATTTTACTGTATATATTTTAATTGTTATTGTTTTAATGTATTTTGTATTTGATGTTGTAAGCCGCCCCGAGGCCTTGGCAAGGGGTGGCATAGAAATGTTTTAATAAAATAAAATAAAAAAATAAAATAAAGAGTAATGGACTGATGGAACACCTCCCCGACCTTGACTTTGAAGAAAACCACCTTGGTTTCTCAGCAGTTAAAGATCATTTAAGACTAAGAGGATTGCAACTCAACTGTAATCATTGGCACCTAATTAGAGTTAAGAATTTGGTTAAACTGAACTTTGTAGAGTTGGCTTTTGCATGTGGGAAACGGTGGTGACCATTTGAACTTTTAATCAAGCACTTCACTGGACCCATTTGGGTGGCATCTGATCCTCTTTGCTCCCTTCCTGCTCCTTTTGAACTTTCTGTGCCCACCTGGTAGACTTGCCCAAGCTCATTTGACCTCATTTCTGAATGTTAAACACCTTCGGGTACTCAGTAACTTTGGGTTTGTCCAGGGGATCTTATCAAAGATACTCATCTGGGTGCTTGCAGTAAATACATCACTGCAAGTGACTGCTAAGGAAAGGTCTTTTTAGTGGTGGCACATTGGTTGTGGAATTCTCTCCCCTGATAGAGTCACTTTCATGGTACTTGCTTTGCTAGGTAAGGACCATTTTCCCAGCCCTGTCCCAGGCCTTTTAGACCTTCGGTTTTGCTTTCGAAGGGTAGTATTAGGGCATTTGATTTTATTGTCTTACATTTTAAAAAAACTTACACTGAGTTGCTACATCTCCATGCAACTGTTGGCTTTTACACTGGTTTTATTTTGGTTCAGAGCACTGTAGCTGTTATGATGTAATTAATAAATGTAATTAAGACAATGCAATAATACTGGATGTTGAGGGTATTGCTTCAGCTGTGGGCACTGCTTCTTGTCAGATGTTTTCCTTGGAAGAGCTCCTAAAACACACATATTGCCCACCCAGAAAAACACAGGGCCGGGATACAGTATTGCGTTATCAGTAAAACCATAGCACAAACTCCCAGAGGGCTGGAAAGTCATCCTAATTCTTGGCAGAGGAAGGGAATAAATGGACGTTGAGACTGCTGACTTTGCAGTGTGAGACCGGAATAGGATCTCCAGTCTACAGTCAGGAAGGAACCCTGGTTGGGAAAGGCAGTAGACAGGGGAAGTTGTGCCAGGGACACGGCTTGTCACATTGAGGGATCTGCCAGTGTCAAGGTGAGTCACTGGCTCTGTGGCAGAGAGTAGGTGAGCTGGGGCGCCATCCCAGGAGAGCTGGCCTCTCCCTCTGAAGCAGCAAGAGCTGTGCACCTGCCATGGTGCTGATACAACCGGGGCTGCAAAGCGGGCCTTTTGGTGCTGCAAACCTAAACAAGTCAGGTCTAAAAATCCATTTTCCTTTTTTTGCATGCATTGCTGCTGAATCACCATTTCCCCACCGGACCCTGGATATTTCTTTCTACGTGTCCTACAGAATTCAGCCTGTGTGTTGCGGATCTGGAGGACTCGGGGGTCCCTGCAGCTCTAAGTTCCCAGCCTCATCATCACGAGTGGGGCTTAAGAATATGAATAAAGTTTGAAAACCAACAGAGGAAAAAATCGTATTAAAAAAGAGGAGATAACATCACTGCCATTCTCATAAAAATCATTGAACGGGACTGGGAGATTGCTTGTGAGTGGTGTGTGTGTGTGTGGGAGAGAGAGAGAGAATAAATACATAGGTACATCAGAACCTAAGAACATAAGTCAAGTCCTGCTGAATCAGACCACAGGTCCCTCACTCGGTACACACGGTGGCCAACCAGCTGCCCACAGGATCCCTCCAGCAGGTTGGGTGCAAGACCTCCCCCTGCCCAAGCTCCTCAGCAATGGGTGCATGTAGGCGAGCCCCCTCTGGTGAAGGTAGCCACGGATAGCCTCCTTTCTCCTGCATCTGTCCAAGCTCCTTTTAAGGCCATCCAAATTGGCAGCCATCACCACTTCCTGTGGCAGCAAATGCCACAGTTTAACTCTACATGTGTGAAGAAGTCCTTGCTTTGATCTGTCCTGAACCGCCCACCAATCAGCTTCACGGGTTGAGCCCTTTGGGTTCCAATGTGATGGGAGAGAGAGAGAAAATGTTTCCTTCTCCACTTTCTCCACACCGTGGGTACTATTTGAAAAATCTTTATCAAATAACGTCTTTTTCCTCCCTCCCTCCCTCCCTTCTTTTCTGCCATTTAACAGTTTGACATAGATAAAGAAGCAGGCGAAAGGCAGATATACCACCGGTACTGCATGGAACGGGCATCGGTACACTGTGCCCACGTGTTCACCACGGTCTCTCACATAACAGCCATAGAAGCGGAACACATGCTCAAAAGAGCAGCCGGTAAGATCGGCAAGGATATGTTGCCTCAGGCTTGCCAAATGGCAATTAATACCCCAATAAGAGCAGGAAAGATTGAGAAAGGTCAGGGCATCTTTTTGATTTGCTGCCATTCTCAAAATGGCCAGCAGCAGGGCGGTGGGGGCCGAAAGAGGGCTTGGAGGGGCCGCATGTTGGTAACTCCTGCAGGAAAGGGATGAAGTGATCAATGCCTAGGAAAGCTAAAGAATGCAACTCGTTTGATATGGTTAAGTCCACATATTCAGGGACATTGCCTAAAAGGTAGAGGAAAGCTTTACGTGGGGCTTCCCCTGAAGACAGTCCGAACACTTCAATTGGTGCAAAATAGAGCTGCCAGGGTGCTGACAGGGACGGGGCGTTATGCTCACATGACTCCAGTCCTCCGTCAGCTTCACTGGCTTCCCATTGAAGTCTGGGCCCAATTCAAGGTGTTGGTGATGACCTATAAAGCCCTAAACGGCTTGGGTCCTGGTTACCTGAAGGAGCGCTTACGTCCATATACGCTCGCCCGTCCCCTGAGATCTGTGGGAGAGGCCCTTCTCCGGGAACCCTCCGTGAAGGAAATTAGGAGGGTAGGTACTTGGAGGAGGGCTTTCTCTGCAGTGGCGCCCAACCTATGGAAT